CTTCGATCAGGAAAACAACATGAGGGTTCTGGTAAACACTTCCAGCATGTGTTCACTCAAAGGCTAAAAAGAGATTTAATTTGGCAGTCGAAGTTTCGTTTAGGCATGAATGTTTTGTGATTTCTTCTTCCTGAGAATTGGTCTTAAGGACGTGATTTATCATTAGGAAAAAGTGCATGTGTATATGTGTGTGCGTTTGAGTGATTGTAAGAGACGAAGCTTTGTTCACAGGTTGTACTGGCAGTGGTGGGAGTGTGCTCGGCTGTCCCCTTCATCCAGGACACGCCCGAAGTGCAGGCTGAGAAAGCGCGGTTCTTCCAAAGCTTCCGTGCTGCTCAGGCTGCTGCCACTCCTCAGCAGGCCCTCCAGCGCCCCTCGCCCGCCGTCCAGCCCCAGTGGTATGGACCCGTAGCTGCCACCGTCCCCGCCGGCGTGGACGGCACCATCACGCCCGTGTCCGACACCCAAGAAGTGGCCGCCGCCCGCAACGCCTTCCTCAACGCCTACAACGCACAGGTCAGGGCCACAGCTGGTGCTGCGCCTGCCGGTCCTTCCTTCGCCCCCGCCTACAGCCCTGCTCCAGCGCCTCCTGCCGCCCCCGTGCAGGCCAAGTGGACCGGCCCCGTGGCAGCCACCGTGCCCGCCGGACTGCCAGGCTCCGCCCCGCAGGTCGCTGACACCGCCGAAGTCGCAGCCGCCAAGCAGGAGTTCTTCAACACGTACCAGAGGCAGGCGGCAGCTGCGGCGCCTCCTTCGCGCAACTACTTCTAAAAGATCTTAATTTATGAGAGGAAATAAATAGGAATGACCTATTTTACTTTTCAGTTATACTTTGGTGGTTAAAACAACTCCTTTCCTATTCCCCACAAAATATATTGATATTTCCTAGCCATCACACACCTATTTCAAATACGTATAATTACGAAGAGGTGCATGAAATAAATATTTTGGTAAATGCAAGCCTCTCCTCTACACAGAAAAAAAAAAACTTGAATTGCTTATCGAGTCATCTCAGTCACACAGTCACTAGCAATCACAAACCTATAATGTTTATCAAATAATTGCTTATACATGCATACAGAGGAGTCTGAAAATATATATGCATATGAATAATTACAAACGCACACGCACGCTAAATACGTGTATATTAATATGGAAATAGATATGCAAACAAAGATACATAAATAGACATAGATAAACATAAACATAAAGATATATATATATATATATATATATATATATATATATATATATATATATATATATATATATATATGTGGGTAGATAGAAGGATAAATAGCTAACCAGATAGATAATCAGACATGGAGCAATAGACAGATCGATGGATACAAAGAGGCAGTAATAGAGAGAGAAATCGACTGCCTAAAAAATAGATAGAAATAGATCGATAAAGCGATAGATAGACTGACAAACATACAGGTCACACTGTAGATGGGTCTTGATATTTGTGCATCCAGAGTACAGTCCAAGCTTGTGTTCAAAAGAGTAGGGGGGGAGGGGTTGCAGGAACAATAATGAACCATAATAGATATTCAGTTATAATAATTCATTGATTAATTATAATAATTCATTAATGAATTATAACAATTCATTAATTCATAATAATTCATTCAGTTCATTCACTTTATGCTCATATCTATCATTATTATTATCATTATTATTATTATTATTATTATTATTATCATTATTGTTATTATTATTATTATTACAAGAGATTAATTGTTGATATCTAATTACACAGATGTTCCTTGGCACCTTTCTCTCAGAATAAGATAAAATAAACATCATCGAAATAAAGCAAAGACTGCTACCACGACACCAATTTCCAATCTTCAGAATGCAATGTTTGTATGTTTTGTATGTATTAATAATGATCTTTATCAGATATTCAGCTTTTAACTTACCTGGCTAATATGGTGTGTCTGTTGCATGTCTTCGACACAATATTGGCATTACTGATATCTAAGTATAAAAGTGTTCTGTAGATATTCTTCTTATAAAATGAAATGAAGTAGAACACTTTTGGAACGTGAGAAACGAAATGGAACTAAAGAATATCATGATAATATCGCATTTTAATATTTCAATGTAAAATGCAGAACTCATATGCTTTGTGTTTCAGTGAAAATGAAATAGATCAGTTTATTATTATTATTATTGTTCATTCATCTATTTATCATTATCATTATTATTATTATTATTTGTCCTACACAGGCATGCACATCGGCAGATATTAACGGACTTATTCAATTAATAAACCTACGCAGATGTGATATTTTTTTCTATTTATTGTTTATTTCTATTGATTGTACTTTCAATTAAATCTATATGTATATATATATATTTTTTTTTTCCAGAATATCAATGCTGATGATAAGTGTTTCTACCTCCACTGGTAATGCCGATAACAGTTACATGAACAACGGCAAAGTTAGTTCTATATTATTTACATTCCCCACTCTTTTCCTGATATAAAATCTTATGTTCTTTTTGGAATTATCCCGTTCATAATAACGTGAATTAAAAAAAAAGTGTGTTTCAAACTGGACCACTCGTGTGGATGCGGCCAAGCAGGAAAGCACAAGTAGAGTTGACCAGTTCTTTGCCTCACTGACTTTGCCTGACCTTCGCTTCTTGTATATAAAGGCAGAGGGATTATTGGCTTAATGCAGTTGGGGTCTTCGATTAGTAAAACAACATGAGGGTTCTGGTAAACACTTAAAGCATGTGTTCAATAAAAAAAATATAAAGCTCTCAATTGGCAATGATATTTTGTGTAAACGATAATTTCTCTGGTGAAATAATTTTCGTATAAGAAAGAAGGAGGCGATCTCTTATAAGGAAAAGTTTGTGTGTGTACGTGTCTTTGACTGAATGATTATACGAGACAAGGCTCTGTTCGCAGGTTGTACTGGCAGTGGTGGGAGTGTGCTCGGCTGTCCCCTTCATCCAGGACACGCCCGAAGTACAGGCTGAGAAAGCGCGGTTCTTCCAAAGCTTCCGTGCTGCTCAGGCTGCTGCCACTCCTCAGCAGGCCCTCCAGCGCCCCTCGCCAGCCGTCCAGCCCCAGTGGTATGGACCCGTAGCTGCCACCGTCCCCGCCGGCGTGGACGGCACCATCACACCCGTGTCCGACACCCAAGAAGTGGCCGCCGCCCGCAACGCCTTCCTCAACGCCTACAACGCACAGGTCAGGGCCACAGCTGGTGCTGCGCCTGCCGGTCCCTCCTTCGCCCCCGCCTACAGCCCTGCTCCAGCGCCTCCTGCCGCCCCCGTGCAGGCCAAGTGGACCGGCCCCGTGGCAGCCACCGTGCCCGCCGGACTGCCAGGCTCCGCCCCGCAGGTCGCCGACACCGCCGAAGTCGCCGCCGCCAAGCAGGAGTTCTTCAACACGTACCAGAGGCAGGCGGCAGCTGCGGCGCCTCCTTCGCGCAACTACTTCTAAAAGATCTTAATTTATGAGAGGAAATAAATAGGAATGACCTATTTTGCTTTTCAGTTATACTTTGACGGTTAAAACAAATCCTTTCCTATTCCCCACAAAATGTATTGGTATTTCCTAGCCAGCATACACCTATTTCAAATACGTATAATTACGAAGAGGTACATGAAATAAATATTTTGGTAAATGCAAGCCTCTCCTCTACGCAGAAAAAAAAACAAACTTGAATTGCTTATCGATTCTTCTCAGTCACACAGTCACTAGCAATCACAAACCTATAATGCTTATCAAATAATTGCTTATACATGCATACAGAGGAGTCTGAAAATATATATACATATAAATAATTACAAACGCACACGCACGCTAAATACGTGTATGTTAATATGGAAATAAATATGCAAAGATACATAAATAGATATAGATAAACACATACATAAAGATATATATATATAAATATGTGGATAGATAGAATGATAAATAGCTAACCAGATAGATAATCAGACATGGAGCAATAGACAGATCGATGGATACAAAGAGGCAGTAATAGAGAGAGAAATCGACTGCCTAAAAAATAGATAGAAATAGATCGATAAAGCGATAGATAGACTGACAGACATACAGATCACACTGTAGATGGATCTGGATATTTGTGCATCCAGTGTACAGTTCAAGCTTGTGTTCAAGAGTAGGGGGGGGGGATGCAGGAATAATAATGAACCATAATAAACATTCAGTCGTCAAAATTAGATTCACGTTATACTCATATCTATTATTATTATTATTATTATTATTAATATTATTATCATTATCATTATCATTATTATTATCATTATCATTATTATTATTATTATCATTATCATTTTTCTTCTTCTTATTATTATTATTATTACAAGAGATTAATTGTTGATATCTAATTACACAGATGTTCCTTGGCACCTTTCTCTCAGAATAAGATAAAATAAACATCATCGAAATAAAGCGAAGACTGCTACCACGACACCGATTTCCAATCTACAAAATGTAATGTTTGTATGTTTTGTATGTATTAATAATGATCTTTATCAGATATTCAGCTTTTAACTTACCTGGCTAATATGGTGTGTCTGTTGCATGTCTTCGACACAATATTGGCATTACTGATATCTAAATATAAAAGTGTTCTGTAGATATTCTTCTTATAAAATGAAATGAAGTAGAACACTTTTGGAACGTGAGAAACGAAATGGAACTAAAGAATATCATGATAATATCGCATTTTAATATTTAAATGTAAGATACAGAACTCGTATGCTTTGTATTTCAGTGAAAAATAGATAGATCAGTCTATTATTGTTATTAATCTCTTTATTGTTATTATTATTGTTATTTGTCAAACACAGGCATGCACATCGGCAGATATTAACGGACTTATCTAATTAATAAACCTACGCAGATGTGATTTTATTCTATTTATTGTATTATTTCTATTGACTGTACTTTCAATTAAATCTCTATATTTTTTCCAGAATATCAATGCTGATGATAAGTGTTTCTACCTCCACTGGTAATGCCGATAACAGTTACATGAACAACGGCAAAGTTAGTTCTATATTATTTACATTCCCCACTCTTTTCCTGATATAAAATCTTATGTTCTTTTTGGAATTATCCCGTTCATAATAACGTGAATTAAAAAAAAAGGTGTGTTTCAAACTGGACCACTCGTGTGGATGCGGCCAAGCAGGAAAGCACAAGTAGAGTTGACCAGTTCTTTGCCTCACTGACTTTGCCTGACCTTCGCTTCTTGTATATAAAGGCAAAGGGATTATTGGCTTAGTGCAGTTGGGGACTTCGATTAGTAAAACAACATGAGGGTTCTGGTAAACACTTAAAGCATGTGTTCAATAAAAAATATAAAGCTCTCAATTGGCAATGATATTTTGTGTAAACGATAATTTCTCTGGTGAAATCATTTTCGTATAAGAAATAAGGAGGCGATCTCTTATAAGGAAAAGTGTGTGTATGTACGTGTCTTTGACTGAATGATTGTACGAGGCAAACCTTTGTTCTGCAGGTTGTATTGGCAGTGGTGGGAGTGTGCTCGGCTGTCCCCTTCATCCAGGACACGCCCGAAGTGCAGGCTGAGAAAGCGCGGTTCTTCCAAAGCTTCCGTGCTGCTCAGGCTGCTGCCACTCCTCAGCAGGCCCTCCAGCGCCCCTCGCCCGCCGTCCAGCCCCAGTGGTATGGACCCGTAGCTGCCACCGTCCCCGCCGGTGTGGACGGCACCATCACGCCCGTGTCCGACACCCAAGAAGTGGCCGCCGCCCGCAACGCCTTCCTCAACGCCTACAACGC